CTAAGGCACAATAACAATAATACATGGAATATACCTATCTCATAGAACTGGAAGGGACCTTGAAGGTCATTAAGTCCAGTCCCCTGCCTTCACTAGCAGGACCAAGTACTGTCCCTGACAAGTTTTTTTGTTGTTTTGTTTTTTTTCCCCCAAATCCCTAAATGGCCCCCACAAGAATTGAACTAACAACCCTGGGTTTAGCAGGCCAATGCTCAAATGACTGAGCTATCCCTCCCCCCCAACTGAAATCAAGGAGTGTCCTCAAGAGATGCCTTCCGAGTTCTTGGGGGATATCACAGCGGGAACTGTGGGAAGTTAACTCTGTCTACTGTACATACAACTGAGTCTAAACTTTTCAGGCCTGAGACCTTTGTTTGGAAGCTATATAAAACAAACAAATCAAAAAATATTGCAGGAAAAGCCCAGAACTGCTAAATAGCATGTGTTTGATATTTCACTCCTTTGTTCTTCCATTTGGGGGCTTTGAAGAGCCACCAGTTACCACATACAGGTATTTAAATGAAAAACTGCTTTTTACCAAGTTCATAACAGTCTATAATCACATCACTTACACAAATGATAGCCAACGTGCATAGCAACTTATATTTTGCTACTAGTTTGGCCCATTCTGACCACTATACGAAGTGATTAAATTAGATATAGTGGGCCAAAGTCAGCCCTTTTGTAACTCCATTGAAAACAGCGAAATTACAGCAAAGATGGATTTGGCCCAGCATCAGTTTCTATTTTTAGCAGGCTGCTGTCCTATTGCTGGATTTTTCCCCACATTAATGTAAAACATACAGTATTTTTGCCAGAGCAGTCATGCCAGAATTCTCAGACTACACAAAGCCTCTGTCATTCTTCCTAGCTGCTCTAGAATACATTAGGTGACAACCTTTAGAATTCCTTGAGTTCCACAACCTGTCTCTGCTTCCCATGGACTCATCTTCTCTCTGGCAGCACTCTTACAGAGCAGAACTAGAAAGAAAAAATTGAGTATTTACACTATTAAAAACAGAAGTACACATCCATGAATGGAGAAACACCAGTGTGTAGGAACAAATCCATCTCCTAGGAGGTACACCTCTACCTCGATATAACGCTGTCCTCGGGAGCCAAAAAAAAAAATCTTACCGCGTTATAGGTGAAACCGCATTATATCGAACTTGCTTTGATCCACCGGAGTGCGCAGCCCTGCCCCCCCAGAGCACTGCTTTACCGCATTATATCTGAATTCGTGTTATATCGGGTCCCATTATATCAGGGTAGAGGTGTATTTGAAATAATTAAAGAAAAAATTCCTGCTTCTGTAGCAATCTCAATATCAGCTTATTTCACCAGGCTATTTGCAACTAGATAAACTTCACAAATGCAAACTTTATGGGATGAGTGCACAACTCAATTACTACACATCTATTTAATATTTCTTCTTCAAATTAACAAACTATAGCACCCAAGGACAAGAACACTGTGCTTTTTTTAAAAAGTCATGTACCAATGACTTCATATTTTCTAGGCAATGAACATTCACCACACTTCTCTTTAAAAAATGCAAGGTAATGTAAATAATTAGGCCACTATACTATAAGTGTAGATGCAATGATAATATCATGACTAAGGGCATATGCTGACAGGGAGAGATTTTATAACTTTGCTCCCATAGCTCAGTTTGTCATTATGGACCCTGCAAAACTTAAAATACACCAGCCAACCTCCTCCTTATGCAGAAGCAAAAAGAAGGGCCTTACCAACCAGGATAGCTATATGTGTACTACAGACTGTTCTTGTAGTGTCTTAGCAAGCACACTGCTGTACACACCGAGAAGGAGTTTCTCACAGACATATTGGCAGCTAGGCAGATGCAAACTTGCTACAGAGATTTGAGTCCAAATTCCCTTTTCTTGAATAAAGGAAGATACACGTGATGGAGTGGAGGTAAGGAGACCATGGATAACCTCAGAGCAAAATATTGACTGTTGTAAAACTATTTGAAAGAAAGTTTCAGTTTAGGTATCCATAATTACTTGAAAAAAAGAACAGGAACTAACAAATTTATTTGAGCATAAGCTTTCTTAGGCTACAGCCCACTTCTTCGGAAAGCTTATGCTCAAATAAATTTGTTAGTCTCTAAGGTGCCACAAGTACTCCTGTTCTTTTTGCGGATACAGACTAACACGGCTGCTACTCTGAAACCTATAATTACTTGGTAGAAGACTGGAACTCTGAAGTAGCACAAAACAGGGAGGATCATAGTTACAGTCCTACCAAATTCACAGCCATGAAAAACAAGTCACGGCCCGTGAAATCTGGTCTCTCTCCCTCCCCCCTCACCCCCGTGAAATCTAGTCTTGTGTGCTTTTACCCTATACTATATAGATTGCACAGGGAGACTAGCGTTTCTCAAATTGGGGGTCCGGACCCAAAGGGGAGGTCACAAGGTTATTTTATGGGGGTCGCGGTATTGCCACCCTTACTTCTGCGCTGCCTTCAGAGCTGAGCTCTTAAGGCTGCGCCCTGCCAGCAGCAGCGCAGAAGTAAGGGTGGCAAAATACCATACCATGCCACCCTTATTTCTGCGCTGCTGTCTTCAGAGCTGGGTGGCCGGACAGTGGCAGCTGCTGACTGAAGGCAGCGGCACAGAAGTAAGGGTGACAATACCATACCATTCCATCCTTACTTCTGTGCTGCTGCTGGCGGTGGCTCTGCCTTCAGAGCTGGGTTCCCGGCCAGGAGCCGTCCCTCTCCAACTGCCCAGCTCTGAAGGCAGCGCTGGCGTCAGCAGCAGCGCAGAAGTAAGGGTAACAGTACCGCAACTCCTCCGCCACAATAACCTTGTTACCCCGCCCCCCCCCCAACTCCTTTTTGGATGAGGACCCCTACAATTACAACACCGTGAAATTTCAGATTTAAATAGCTGAAATCATTAAATTTACTATTTTTAAAATCCTATGACTGTGACATTGACCAAAATGGACCGTGAATTTGGTAGGGCCCTACTCATAGTGAAGAGGTTCATCACACAAGTGGCCAATACACACACAGCTCAGCATTATTCTCAAGCAAACCGTTCATCCAATTCAGGAGATACATTGTCAAATTCCAGAGAGCAACATCCAGTTCTGCTCAGCACAACACACAGCCTCAGAGAGTAACTGAAAAATAGAAGGTACTTTCTAGGTTTTAAGGACTCCCGAAAAAGAGGAGGCTAGTATATTCAAAGAATAATATTTTTTTCAGTATTTTACTTTTCTAAAGTTAGCGTTACAAATATTGTGAAGTAGCAGCAAAGAGTCCTGTGGCACCTTATAGACTATGAGCTTTTGTGGGTGAATACCCACTTCGTCGGATGCACCCACGAAAGCTCATGCTCCTATACGTCTGTTAGTCTATAAGGTGCCACAGGACTCTTTGCTGCTTTTACAGATCCAGACTAACACGGCTACCCCTCTGATATTGTGAAGTAGATAGTTGTACATAACAGCCACTTTGTTTAAAACTTAAATATCTGTCCAAAATTAATTTTTAGTTAAGGTTCATTCCTTCACGTAATTAAACTTCACCTATTGATAGAATTTTCAAAGTCTCATGAGGTGATCATGTAACTTTGGGCCAAATTCTGATATTGTTGCTCACATTGAGTAGCACTTTACTCCACTGTTAGCCCCACTAACATGGTGTATGGTACTATTCAGCATGAATAAGGGTAACGTAATCTGGCCCTATATCAAATTACTCTACAATTATTTATTTGTGCAGATCAGTGTTATCCTCCCTGTTTGTATGCAGGCACAATTTTGGCAACCAAGATTTCCTTTTCTAGAGTTGTATGTGTGAAAGCCTGTACTCAGGAAAAACATTTATTTTAAAATATGCTGTAAGAAATTAGGATGATTGGTAAGATATTGATGGACGCCCACCTACATCACCTTTTGCGAGTCTTTAATGTGACAAAAATCAATCAGCTGTCACCTCAAGAACAAAAGGCAACACTGTTGATTAGCCAACAAATGGCAATGTATATCTGTGGATAAAAAGTAACATCATCTAAAACTGGAAGATTATTCCATTTCTAAATTAAAACCTCTTTCATTGATTAAAAAATTCAAAAGGGTAATTTTCAATTATACAAACGACATTAAAATGTATACCATGCAAACATTGTGTTTTTAGGCTTGTCTACCTTTTCCCTTATTTATACCCTCTTTGGAAGCTTGAAATTAATTTCTTCTCCCTCTCCCTCACCTCCCCAATTAGAGTTTTTTATTGTAGGTATATTTGAATAAGTCTTAATTTAAAACTGTATGAAAATAAAAGCAGTGGAACACTTATGCTTCGAAATAAATGTGCATAAAGCACTTCAAGAACTTTGCAAATTGATAAGATGATAAAAAGGTACAGTACGCTATCTGCTAATAAAAAGTACAGTGGACCTGCCAACCTTGAAAAAGCCCTTTTAAAATACTGTCAAGTGCCATTATCATTTATCCAACAACTATATGATCTCATAAGGCAGATTTATAATAATCCAACAAGCGCACAATGTAAAATCAGCAGTAGGGAGAATTACAGACTTGTCTACTCTACTGAAAATAGTTATGCAAGGGTTTGAGGTCACTTTCAAAACTAAATATTAAACATCAATCATAGAATATCAGGGTTGGAAGGGACCTCAGGAGGTTATCTAGTCCAAACCCCTGCTCAAAGCAGGACCAATCCCCAATTAAATCATCCCAGCCAGGGCATTGTCAAGCCTGACCTTAAAAACCTCTAAGGAAGGAGATTCCACCACCTCCCTAGGTAACCCACTCCAGTGCTTCACCACCCTCCTAGTGAAAGTTTTTCCTAATATCCAACCTAACCCTCCCCCACTGCAACTTGAGACCATTACTCCTTGTTCTGTCATCTGCTACCACTGAAAACAGTCTAGATCCATCTTTGGAATCACATTTATGTTGAGCTAAAAATCGTACAACAACAAGACTAAAGTTTGCAAGTACCATTCTGGAGAGTCTGTGCTCGCGATTCCTTTCCCAAATTGACATGGAATCCTCCTCCTAATGATGGTGTTTTACCGGCACCTATGGGGGGAGGGGGGGGAAAACAAAGAGTAACAATTATCAGATACAACTAAAGCATTAAAATAGATCTTACAATGCATCCCTTTCATTCAATACTTTTACAATGTATGATGGGCCAAAATTATGGTCTGGTAAGGGTGGTAACATAGGGATTTGAGGGGTGAAAGGCATAGCACACAGAATAAATTGCACTGAGTTTTTCTCCACAATCTCTCGCCTGGGCTACTCCAAGGTTAGCTAGTGTAACAATGTGCCGCCCCTTACTCCAGAAAAAACATTAAGTCATAATCTAGCCCTCAATTGTAAAATCTTTCTCGCAGTAAACCACAGAACAACTGCTCATTTATATTTTGTTTGAGAAATGTTAAATACTGAATTTTATTAGCTAAACATCTACATTACAGAACAGAAAATGTGGTCAGCGTGCAAAAGGTTCTGTGTTAAGGCTAGTATATACACACCTTGTACATTGAAACAGCTGCAATACAAGTCAAGCACACATACTGTAAATTGGGTCACAGAATTGTGTGTCTAAAATGTAGAGTCGATGAAGCAATCAGGTATTAAAAAATGAGATGGAAGGTTAGAAAGTAACAAATCTCAGCAGAGTTGGAGGCCTTGTCTACACTACCGGGGTAAGTTGACCTAAGTTATGCAACTCCAGCTACATGAATAACATAGCTGGAGTCGACGTAGCTTAGGTCAACTTACTGAGGTGTCTACATCGCGCTGCGTCGATGAGAGATGCTCTCCCATCGACTTACCTTACTCTTCTCATTCCGGTAGAGTACCGGAGTCGACAGGAGAGCAATCTGCGGTTGATTTAGCGCAGGGGTAGGCAACCTATGGCACACATGCCAAAGGCGGCACACGAGCTGATTTTCAATGGCACTCAAACTGCCTGGGTCTTGGCCACCAATCTGGGGGGCTCTGCATTTTAATTTAATTTTAAATAAAGCTTTTTAAATATTTTAAAAACCTTATTTACTTAACATACAATAGTTTAGTTATATATTATAGACTTACAGAAAGAGACCTTCTAAAAATGTTAAAATTATTACTGGCACGCGAAACCTTAAATTAGAGTGAATAAATGAAGACTCGGCACACCACTTCTGAAAGGCTGCCAACCCCTGATTTAGCAGGTCTTCACTAGACCCGCTAAATCGAACCCCAGTGCTTTGATCGCAGCAGCGTCAATCCCAGCTAAGTGTAGACATGCCCTCAGATGCACTCTTACCTTGCTAAACTAGCATATCCTAAGGGACAGCTGCTGCACTGAGTGGCTTTAGTGTGAGCAGGCTACTTGAAATCAACAAGAATATTCACAAGAGTAAGGGCTGCACAACTGGCCCCTAAACTATTAGTGATGAATAATTGGATTGTTTCACAAAAGATGATTTTTTCAAAAATAACCATAAGGTTAATGTGACAAGTTGGACCCCTTGGGAAACCACCTGATGTGCTGAGATACCACTGAGTCTACCTGTTCCGCCAGCATGGGCCCCCTTTAACCTGTCTTGCTGAGCCAGGCTCTTAAAGCCTCCTCTAACACACACACCAGCAGGGCCACACCCAGCTGCAGATCAGCTCTGGGAAGACTCAGCTTAAGGGACTTGCTCCAGCACTCCCATGTCCACCTCCCTTGGAGTGCAGAACCAACAATGTATTATGAAATTCGCCCCCTCCCTCAATGTGGAGAGAGGTGTACACACTTCTTGCCCCACCCAGTTAAAATTACAGAAACTAGGTTTAATAATAAACAAACCAAATTTTATTAACTATAAAAGACAGATTTTAAGTGGTAAAAGGGGTAACAAACAAAACAAAGCAGATTACTAAGCAAATGAAATCAAACACGCAAAGTACGCTAGTTTCACTAAAGAAATTGGTTACAAATAGTATTTCTCACCCTAGATATTGTTGTGAGCAGTTTGCAAAATTTCTGTGGTTCAGAGTTCGTTATATTCCTTTTCAAACCTAACTCCTGTCTCAGTCTGGACTCCCCCACAGCCTTCCCTTTTGCAGTTTTTCTTCTTGGGCAGACAGGCCATGGAGAGGAGAAGTCTTGTTTGCTTTCCTCTCCGCCCTTAAATAGGATTTACATAAGGCGAGAATCCTTTGTTTCCCAAAACTTGGCCACCCTTCCCTTACAGTGGAAAGTTACAAGAAGTCACAGGTAATGTTTTAGTATCATCAGGTGACAAGACCACCTGACTCTGTAGCATCACAGCATCCATGAGTCAGTGGCAGTATGGAGCATCCACAGGAAGACCAAGCTTTTCACAGTCCATTGTCCTCGCTGATGGGCCATGAGCCCTGTCTGGCTTTTCCATTGTTGTACCCGAAGTGTTCGCAGTGGGCATCACCCAAAGCAGCATAGTTGAAATACAGATACATAGTCAATATTCCTAACTTTAGATACAGAAATGATGCAGGCATACAGATTGGATAATCGCATTCAAGAAATCATAACCTTTCCAATTATCTCTCACATGAGCCATCTTGCATAAGGTATATCTGAGTTATGTCATATTCATATCATAAGCATATTTTCAGAAAGAATATGGACTGACACATCAGTTACCTCAAGCAAAAAACCTTGGAAAATATCAACTTTAACGGCAAATCAGACCAAAATGCTAAAACCTGTAGTACTGAATATGTATGCTGTTAAGTAGTTAATTATCTGAAGAATATTTTGGACTCCAATAGTCCTCTCTTTAGGGTGAGAAAAGGAGAAGATATCATGTTCCTATCAAATCCCCCCCCCATTCCTCCAAAATTAATGGAACTACATTCTTCCATATGAGTACAGCTGTACAAGACACTCTCTAGAGCCAAACACCTTTCTACAATGAGACTCTAGCTAGTGAGATACTTCCCTCCTTTACATATCATCTGGAAGTAATTCCAGGCATTCTCTCCCACACACGGCCTCCACAATAACGTAAATTCAAGAAGTGAAGAACTGAACTTGGATCCCAGATTGTTTCAGCCCCATGGAAATATGCTGCACTGCTACTGACTTGCTGGGATAGTGCCCACTCTTAAATGCTTAAATTAAATTAGTTGGAAAGATGTACAAAAAAGACAAAAAGTTAGACAACACATTCCTATGAAAGCTTTCTGGACAACACTTTTAAGCTTGATTTTCCATACCAGGGTATACAACCCTTTGAATCTGGTCAGGTTTTCAATACTCTCCACTCACCATGGTGACAAACCAACTTCTTTAAGGAGCTCCTTTCAGCCAAATACTTCAAAGGCTCTAGATGTGGAGGCTCCACAGTTTAAATGTTACAGCTCACAATCCTCATTAAGGAACCAAAACACTCACCATGGCCTCTGACTCCCAATGTGTCTGTCTCTAACCTCACTGTTCCCTCCATCTCAGACTGCTGTGGAAGATAATACATCATCTCTCCATTCCCATATATACAAAATGGCCAAATCCTTAAATGCTCTAAGACAAACTAATTAGCTATAAAGGACAGGGCTTTCCAAAGCAGAGTGTTCTAGAGCAGTGGTTCTCAACCTTTCCAGACCACTGTACCCCTTTCAGGAGTCTGATTTGTCTTGCATACCCCCAAGTTCCATCTCACTTAAAAACTACTTGCTTACAAAATCAGACATAAAAACACAGAAGTGTCACAGCACATTATCACTGAAAAATTGCTTACTTTCTCATTGTTACCATATAATTATAAAATAAATCAATTGGAATATAAATATTGTACTTACAATTCAATGTATAGTATATAGAGTAGTATAAACAAGTCATTGTCTGTATGAAATTTTAGTTTGTACTGACTTCACCAGTGCTTTTTACGTAGCCTGTTATAAAACGAGGCAAATATCTAGATGAGTTGATGTACCCTGTGGAAGACTTTTGCGTACCTCTAGGGGTACGCATACCCCTGGTTGAGAACCACTGTTCTAGAGAAGTGCACAAAGATTTCATTTAGTATTAAGAGGTCTAACTACCAACATGCATTTCAAGATTGGCTCATGCTGGTCAGTATGTATTACTATCATTTTTCTCTTTTAAAGTACAGCAAAAAACTAAGGCCCTGATCCTGCAAACACTTACACTAATGCCTAAATTAAGTAGGTGAGTAGTCCTGTTGAATTCAACTGAACAATTCAGGTGAGTAAAGTTAAGAACATATATAAGTGTTTTGAGATACAGCTAGAGCCTAGGAGAGTTGAAAATAAAATAAGTTATTCTTAGACCAAACAACGTGTAATGGAAAATATTCTAATATTAATTATTTGTATTATGATAATACCTAGAGGCCCCAGTCAAGATGTGCTAGGATGTGTATACATATACATACATACACACACACACACACACAAAGAGACAGTCCCTCCCCCAAAATCTTACTGTCTAAATATACCAGACAAAAGATCAGAAAAAAAGGAGTATTGTAGTCCCCTTGACATTGAAACCCATCTACTAGGAAATGGTCCAGTTTTGCATAAGCCAAACAGGCACAGCAGATAGATAAGGACTTTCAGTTACTACCAACATCAACTGGATTCGAACTTGTAATTTAGACATAAAAGATTATCTCCCTATCCACTAACATATGTGGAACACTTCACCTATTAGGACTAACAGCATAGAAACAATTATGCTTCTCATGTTTTATGCTTTTTCTACCTTCTCATTCCTTGTTGCTAAGAAAGTTTTCACGAAAATAAAATTAGAGTGGTGCTAAAAAATATGCACCTCTGGCAAAAAAAAAAAACCCCAACAAAGTGGAACCAATTAAAACAACTCTACAACCAACAGAACACCACCTCCAGGAGAAACCACTACACCATGACCTGCCACATGGCTATCACATGACACCACATCATCATCAATCCATCAAGACTACCCCAAACAAGAACTGAAGGATCTGTACTTTCCAAGGGACCAAACTTCTGTCCCATCATAGAACCAGGTATCATACTAACACGTGGAAACCTAGAAAAATTATTCCACCGAC